CGGATCTTGAAATATAAATCCTTCTACAGCCTAACGCCGCAACGTCAGGCAATCATTTGAAGAATATAAGCAACAATTGTATCATTAACTGAATAAACATACCTGAACTTTGCAAGATGTGTCTCCCATTGACGCTTGCACAACCGCATTGATGACACGAAACTCTTAATCTAATTTTAAAACCATGTCGCTATCCACATGTTTCTCACTTTTCCTGGCAAGGTAAGTGTTGCTTTAAACATAACCAACCCAGAACATTATTGATAACACCATTCTTGGTAACAGCCCGGAAGCATGTTTTCAGGTGATATCTAACGAGTCACTTTAGGAGACTTTCCGACCCTATTTTAAAAAATTACAAAGTTAACATATGCTGTTCATTTACAAGAGGATCAAATTTTCGTTAGAATCTTTAAAAGCTGTCTTGAATATCAGCTTGCAGAAAAAGGTTTTAACAACAGAAATGCACAGAATGTAGTTCCTGATTGGTGGCGAGACTTTCTAGAAGAGGTAGAAGGTAGTCCCTAAAATTGATAATTTTATGACTACATTTCCATTGGGCTTGATAAATATGCAGTGCCGAGTTCACCTACTGTACACATACACATGTAACTTCTTTTTATAGTCCGTTTAAAGGTACTTGGACACAGATTTGAAGTTAATATTTTCTCTATAATATCACGAATTATATATCTTAATAGTATTTCACACAAAAATTAATTAAAAATCTTATTTCATTTAAAAGTTATTAAAACTTCAAATTTTTTGGCGGGTTTGATTGACTCATCTTGGCACTTTCACATATTTAAGTTTATTCTTAATCCTTCAGAAAAGTGGCAATCTTGTGGTGTTTTAATGAAAAATATTAAAACTTTAATCCGGAAAAATAATTTTATTCAGAATAGAAATGTTAGAAAACAAAACACCTTCACAAGTATCGTCATTCCGAGCGAAGTCGTGTGTGCAAATCGATCACACTCGTGTTATGTACACAGTTTTTGTAAACAAGGCACGAGCTCTGTTTTTATTTATATTTAGATTTCACCGGGTGCGTTATGAATCGTCACAGTCTGCTTACTACAACTGCACGGACTGACAATATATTGTGTGTTTGTTATGCTTTCAAACATTCTACTCTGAATTTTCTGAATTATAGTATCATATTTTGCATTCATACACAACAAAATTGCCTTTTTTCCTAAGTATTAAGAGTAAAATTAAAATTTGTGAAATTGTAAGGATGTGTCAATCAAACCCGCCAAAAAAATTAAAGTTTTAATAACTTTAAATTGAAATAAGATTTTAAAATAATTTTTGTGTGAAATGCTATTAAAATATATACTTCGTAATATTCTATAGAAAAAAACAGAAAATATTAACTTCAAATCTGTGTCCAAGTACCTTTAAGATATACTGGACAGAGCTTTTATACAAAAAACTTGGGAAAATCTGAACTGCAAATCTTCTAATGTTGTCTATGGAATAGAATGTAATCTGTGTGGACTTATTTATGTCGGTGAAACCAAGGGATCGCTTAACAAAAGAATATCAGGTCATAGATTTCAAATAAATCATGGTGGTCAGCAGCTTTTATATAAACATTTTAATTCACCTGATCATTCTATTTTATCAATGAAAGTTAGAATTCTGGAAAAGATTTATCACCACACAAATAGTCCGTCTTTGAGTACACCTTTCCGTAGACAACGTGAAGAATTTTGGATTAGGAAACTAGGGACAGCCTTTCCCTATGGATGTAATGACAATGTCGATAGTGTGGGAAATCTTACAAGCCCACAGTGTAATAATGTAAATGTGATGAGACTTTTTAACAATACTCAAAGACGTAAGCGTAGTCATGGACATCGTTCGTACAATAAACCTGCAATACACGACGTCTCTTTTGATTCATTACTACCTTATGTAAATCAACAGTTAGGTCTACATCATATTCGAACCAAAATTTACTCTGTCCCTTTGAAACTTTTAAATAGTCTTCTTGAAAAGACCAAGGAACATCCAAATTTAGATTCCTCGACACCTGAATATAGGCTCGGTTCTGTGATTATGGATATTGCACATCATAGGCTTTTTAAACCCGCACGTTTCATGGAAAAAAAATGCAGCTAAAACAATCCGTCTTTTCCTTTAACTTCAATATGCCAATAAAGGAATTGACGCGGTTAATATAATTAATATTCTTAATCACAAAAGGATCCAGTCTTGTATTCCCACATATTTCAAGTTAAAGACTACACCTTGTATTTCCTACAAATATACATCGACCATTGCTTCCAAACTTTTCAATTACAAAAACACTTTACATGGCCTGGATATCGACTATCTGAAAAATAATCCCCTTTCGTGTTCATGTTCTTCTTCGCCCTATAACTATAGTCCTGCTGGACACGTTATTACAGGTGACGTAAAAATAGTTCGTAATGAGGACCTTAGATCACTTATTTTAAAAGGTCCTAAATTTAGGGAACCCCGATCCTTCAACTTGCGTCGGAATTTCAAAAATATTATGGATTCTATTGAAAATTACGCCAGACGATGGGCTAGATATGAAAAAGAAGACATTGACACCTTGTCAGAATGGATTAAATGTATCAGATCCATGTTAAAGTCACGTATTAAAAGATTGAGGGGCAAAGTGAAAACCATCTATCCTTTTGTGTTCAATAAACCAGAAGTGAAAAAAGAATTAGATAGAATACACGATCGGTACGTACTGGTTCCTGCCGACAAAGCAGGTAACAACATTGTCTTCGTTTGTAAAGCTCATTATATAAATTGCATTCTAGAAGAACTTGGATTTAATTCTACAAGTGGTAATCCTACTTATACATATTCTTCTCTATCTAAGGAAGAAATTCTTCAGAATCACCTGTCAGTTTTGAATACTTTTAATATTCCACAGAGCCAAAATGAATTTGAACTACCTTATATATATTGGATTCCGAAACTTCATAAGAGTCCTTACAAACAAAGATACATTGCAGGTTCCAGTAAATGTTCAACCAAGCCTCTTTCGTTACTTCTCACTAAAATATTGACACTAGTGAAAGAAAAACTTCAAGAGTACTGTACAACTATATATTCAAGAAGTGGTGTAAATCAGATGTGGATACTTAAAAATTCTAAAGAACTTTTGGACAATTTGAAATCACAAGACTTTACAAAAATCAACAGCATAAAAACTTACGACTTTTCAACTTTTTACACAACAATTCCCCACGACAAATTAAAATCCAGGCTTTTTGATATCATTGACAGCTGCTTCTTCAACAAAAATGGAACTCGTAAGTTTACTTACCTCGTCATTGGTCATTTGAAAAATTATTTTGTTAAAACAGATTCTGATTGCACACATAAGTACTCTGAAGTTGACATCAAGAAGATGCTTGAGTTTCTGATTGACAATATCTATGTGGTTTTTGGAGACCAGGTATTCCAACAATCTATTGGAATTCCCATGGGTACAAATTGCGCTCCGTTATTAGCAGACTTATTTTTATATTCATATGAAGCAGAATTTATGCAAAATCTTTTACGTGAAAAGAAGAAAACACTTGCTGTGGCCTTCAGCTCGACATTTAGATATATCGACGACGTATTGTCAATTAATAATGATAATTTCCATTCATACGTCGACACGATATATCCTGGTGAGCTTGAGATAAAGGATACCACAGAGTCCGACACTTCTGCTTCATACTTGGATATTTTACTTGAAAAAGACACAAATGGTAATCTAACAACCAAGCTATATGATAAACGTGATGACTTTAATTTTTCTATCGTCAACTTCCCTTACTTATGCAGCAATATACCTTCATCACCTGCATACGGAGTATTTATATCTCAATTGATTCGATATGCAAGAGCATGCTCTGCGTATGAACAGTTTCTTAAACGAGGTAAATTATTGACAAGCAAGTTGATGAAACAAGAATATCAACAGTCTCGTTTAAAGTCATCATTTCGTAAATTCTATGGTCGATACAATGACCTTGTCAGCAAATACAATTTATCATTGAATGAAATGCTGAATGACGTTTTTCATACCAATTGTTAGTCCATTATTTATACACTAAATCGACCACGGATTTTTTCCGTTATATCCTGATTATGACAACGAGCACACGGCGGGTGTGACCGGTCGGCAGGGGATGCTCACTCCTCCATGGCACCTGATCCCACCTCTGATGTTTGGAGGTCCGTGTTTGCTCTGCTCTTATTTTGTATATTTGTTTAATGGACGTTGAGATTGAATACTGTTCGTTATTTCCATATCCTTCTTACAGAGCCATAAGTTAGCATAAAACACAGTCAAATTTCGAGAAAATAAATCGAGATATCGTGGATAAAATGAAAGAATATGGGGTTTGGGCTTCCTATTCATTATATTTAAGATACAGGTGACTCTCGATCTCTCGAAGTTCAAGGGACCAGGATAAAACTTCGAGAGATCGAAGGGTTCGAGAGATAGAAAGTGACTTAATTCCGGAATTTTCAGTTCCGATCATTATCGTTCTACTATTATAGTTACCGGAAGTATATGTTGAGAATAAGCTGGATTTACTATTGCACGTTTTCAATTGGTATTTAACCGGTAATTCATTTGATTTTCACCACAAAGATCGTATTTTGAATAAATGATATGACTTAAAGTTTTGCTGCTTATTTGTTCTCATTTCATGATCAACAGTTACATATACCGGAAGTATCTGTTGATAATATGCTGTCAGTGTCATGGCACGATTTATTCGTATTTACCTGGTAATTTCCTTTAATTTCACCACAAAGATCGTACATGTTTTCTAACCTCTAATTTCTAGAAAAAAAACTTTTTAAGTTTCGATATTTATTTTTCTCATATCATTTTAAACAATACATATAAAAGTTGTACATGTGTAATAAATAATGTCTAATGTTTTAACGAGTCATGTCACAGCAAATATTTTGACAAAGTTTTTAAAGCACATGTCTTCACTTTACTTCTTCTGGAAGAAAATTGTAATTCTTGATTGCTGGGCTGACTTCTTTAGAACATTGTCTCTGCGTATTATGTCAAGAATCACACTCATCTGGCGCACAATGTCTTGACTGTTTTCACGGCACATTAGGTACTGCATCACAAGTTCACCGGCTGCCTCAGAGTCCTCTGAGTTAGGGGGTTGGATTACAGGCTCACTTGGATCGTCAACTGTCTGTGATTCCACCATGGGGTCGGTAGTTTTCTTTATCAAGATTTCCTCTACAATGCCATCATCACTTAGGTCGGCACAGGTCTCGACCTCGTCGTCGATATTTGTAAATGTCTGGAGCATTCCTGGGTATAGGCCGTGTGTTCTTAGAGTCGCAAGGGGAATGTTGTCTTCTACGTCGAAGTCTTCGTCTTCATTTGGGGTTGAGTTGTCATTCTGGGCAGCAAGTCCAGCATGTCGGAAACAATTGGCAATTGTGGACAGCGTAACGTTGTCCCATGGCTGGCTGAGGAGATGAAGAGCGTCTAGGACGCTGATAGTTGGTGTCTGTCCTTTGTCAATAGCGCTGATGTACCACAGAAGAACTCGTTTCCGGTACTGGACTTTGAGACTCTGGATTATGCCTTGGTCAATGGGTTGAGTCTTTGAGGTAGTGTTGGGGGGGGGGGGACACCAGGTCGACTGCTTGGAGGCCAGGAATCTTTGGGTGGGCGCGGCAGTTGTCAACAATGAGGGCAATCTTCTTTTTCTTTTTTGTCATCTTCTTCTCCAGCTTCTTCACCCATTCTTTGAAGATGTCGGATGTCATCCACGCTTTTTTGTTGGCATGGTATTATGTAGGCTTGGACTTGACATGCTTAAAGCATCTTGGGTTTGCCGATTTCCCGATGATAAGTAGGGGAAGCTTGTCTTTACCGCTCATGTTGACGCAGACCATTACCGTCAGCCGTTCTTTGTTCTTCTTTCCACCATGGCTGTCGACGTCTTTGAATTCTAGGGTCTTGTCTGGAAGCATTCTGAAGAAGATGCCGGTCTCATCTGCATTGTAGATATCGTCTGGGGAGTACGTCTGTAGGAGTAATGGCAACTTTTCTTTCCAGAGAATCATATCGGCAGACTGACAGTCAACCGATTTCTCCTCCCCACAAACTCTCTTGAATGAGATGCTCTGGCGAAATTTGAATTTCTCAAGCCAGTCACTAGATGCCTTGAAATTTGAAATGTTTAATTTACCGGCAAATTCCTCGGCTTTAGTGGCTAGCATTAGGCCAGAAATAGGGATATTTTTGTCTCTGGCTGATTTAAACCATTTCAGCGTGGCTGATTCTACATCGTTAAATGTAGAGGTTTGGTGTTTTTTCTTTTGGGATGAAATTGATGAAAGGCATCAATGATATTTTCTTTATTTTTCAGCCAGGTAGAGAAGGTGTTAAGGGGAACATCAAATTCTTTGGCAATGGCTTTCTTTGACTTTTCTCCCTTTTCTACTGCAGTGATCGCCTTGTACTTCGTTTCGATAGTATTTACATTTAATTTCCGTTTCACGCCTTTCCATCCTTATGCAGACTTAGCATTAAGCGTTATAATCCCTGATCTTAGCCATCCCCCCGGGTTGACCGGGTCCTTCACCAGATTGCTCGGTATCACTATTCAGTTCTTGAGATAGGATATCTTGTGCAATGGTCGTCATGATGACTTTGTGTAGAATAAAATAAAAAATCATAAATTATGAAAAATTTATTGACACGTCTCTTAATTATTTTCTCAAAATTATCGTCTCTCTGCCAAGTCAAAATAAGCTGTGAAGCGGTTTGTTTATAAAAAATCAATTAATCAATTAATTATATCAACGATGTAAACACCCAATTAACACGTCCATGCCAGCCCCAGGAGATAATTGTTTTCCAGGTAAGTCCAGGCTGTGTTAATTTTACGCTTGATTAGCTTGCATGGGCAATCAAAACTTCGAAAGATAGAGGGTAAAAAACAATGAAATCAGTATAACGGGACCAAAATTTTGGTTCGAGAGATAGAGAACTTAGAGAGATTGGAAGTTTGAGAGTAAATTTGCTTAGTTATATAGAGAGAAAAAAAATGGGACCGGAGATTCACTTTGAGAGATCGGAGTTCGAGCCATCGAGAGTCACCTGTATCAGATTGAAGATGCTGAAGTTCAACTGTACATTTATTTTTATGACATCATGTATTTTCATGTTAACTTTTTTGGCGATACACCATTTACTTTTCAAACATCATTCATTTTGCGACAGGAGCCAAGGAGCCTCCACCACTTGGGTGTAACCCCCCCCCCCCCAACCACCACCATTTGCTTTTGGCAAGATAAAATGTCCAATAGGCTGTAAGAGCGTTAAATCCCCACACATCTAGCCGAGTAAAATACCAGTTTCGACTCCAAATTAGTAAACGGACTTCAACTCAACATTCACCCGCAGCAACGACTGTAATTTGTGAAGATTAATTTGGAGCCAATATGGAGGTATAGCTCATTGATGGTAATCATAACCATGATGTGATGAAACAGCTGAATGAGCTGTATCCAGAGAGAGACCTAAAAGCCATGTAATAATCTCAGCCATACATTAAAATGATTTCGTACAAAGAAAAGAAATTGCATACATACATCAGTCAACAAAGGAGTGATTAAGAAAACCATGTACATAAAGACTAGAATTTCAAGAACACATTAACAACATTTATATGTTCAATTTTATCTTTAGAGAAGTCACCATATACAAAAAAACTCTAATGGTACCATGTCCTATCTTGGGTTAGCAAGGAATGAAGAAACAACAAATTGTCTGAAGACATCCCTACTAGAAGAACTGAAAATTTTGAGCAACCTATTATTTCAGAAATATGCAGGGAAGTTTTCCAGGAAATATCAAGACGATATATATCAGCTGTTTCATGCTGTGCTAAGACATTTTTTTATTGTTTGCTTTTCAACCTCTGCATATACTTGTATATAAAATCAACTTAATAATAATATCAAATAAATTATTTACCCATGTATATCCCTTTATCACATGGATATGCCTCATTGGATATTCTTTGCATCCCATATTAATTATGTCACAATGTGTTTTTGTTAGCGTAATGAAGTTAATTAAAGTGGATTTCTATATATATAGAAACTGTGTAAATCATTGGTCAGGGTTTAATAAAAATCTCCCATGATTTATAGTTAACTATGATTTTTATCCTATTTGCTGCTTGTATTCATCCCTTCGCCAAGCGTTGGTGATGTAAAACACACAACTTATTGGAAAAAATTATATCTAACTACTTATATATTGACTATGACACCAAATTTATCATTTGAAAAAAAAACATAGTTAAAAATGATTTAAAAAGAAATGGTTATTCTTTAAAGGGATTCCATATAGATTTCCTTAGTGTGTGGTGATCGAAAGGAAGAACAAAAACGAAAAAAGCGGCTACAACACGTAATACGTCTCTCCACCATGGACACCAGTTGCTGGAGCCTGGTAGAGTAAATTTCAAATCTGTTCCCGGCAGGCACCATCTTTTCTTTCCGTGAAGTAGGCCGGCTAGGTGTTGACCAGACTCAGGAATGCCCTTCTCCTCCACAATCGACAGCACCTTCATTACAAAAATTGCGAGTACAGGTAGGTATTTTAAGATTTTTCAAGTAAATGAGGATAAGTAATTTTCTCATCTATTGTGCTAATGTGCTTTGTGAAAAGAACTAAACAATGTCTTATTGTCATTTAGGCTCCCAAAGAAAGAAAAGAGAAAAAGAAAATGCGATGCATCAATTCCAAAGAAGGTAATTAAGTCAAATTAAATAAGATGTTATAAGAAGGTCTTTATTTCTTATTTCTCATACAGCATCATTTTTTTTGCTGAATATACACGTGGCATGAATTAATGCTTTTTCGAGAAGCACCATGCTCAGGAAATGATCGAAAATCTGTCGTCAATTCAGTGTATAAAAAATGGACTAACAATTGCAAATAATTACAATGTGTTTTAATCAATTTAAGAGATTTTAAAATCTCATGCTGTAGAAAGAACCTTGAAACTTAGGTGGTAGAAGGAACCTTGGACACTCCAGTGGTAGAAGGAACCTTGGACACTCCAGTGGTCGAAGGAACCTTGGACACTCAAGTGGTAGAAGGAACCTTGGATACTCAAGTGGTAGAAGAAACCTTGGACACTCAAGTGGTAGATGAAACCTTGGATACTCAAGTGGTAGAAGGAACCTTGGACACTAAGGTGGTAGAAGGAACCTTAGACACTCAGGTGGTAGAAGGAACCTTGGACACTCCAGTGGTAGAAGGAACCTTGGACACTCCAGTGGTAGAAGGAAGCTTGGACACTCAAGTGGTAGAAGGAACCTTGGACACTCAAGTGGAAGAAGGAACCTTGGATACTTAGGTGGTAGAAGGAACCTTGGACACTCCAGTGGTAGAAGGAATCTTGGACACTCAGGTGGTAGATGGAACTTTAAAATACTCATGTGATAGGAAGAACATTGGACACTGGGTGGTAGGGGGAACCTTGGACACTCTGGCTTTGTGTCCATAAAACAATTCCAGACAAAATTAGTTCTCAACTCAATTTTTTTTCTTAGCTTTGATCAAAACTACTGACCTATTAAAAATTCTCAGACTTTTTTTCATTTTCAATTAAATTCTTAGTTTTATTTTAAGAATACTTAATTTTTTTCAAGAAAACTGAACATGGCTGCTGTTCAACACGTTGGACGCAATTTTGGTTATCAAGGGCACTACCTGCTAAAGGGGGGTTTTTGGGATAGGGGGGAAAACCTTTTGTCTTATTCTGACGAGGAACTCCTCAAAAGATACCCCTTTAAAGGGAAAACTATTTGTTTATGTATCGTTTTCCACCCACAGAAAAAGGAAAGGACGAGGAAGCTGGAAGAACAGGAGTATACGAGAAAAAGTAATGGAAATCTGTGCAGTAAATCCCCAAGAAAGACGACATACACCTGGCCATAAACAATATTATGGAAATGTATACTGCCTTGAAACAGTCACATAGTTAGTCATTTAAATGCTGGCTAGAAGAGCTCAAGAGGAGGAACTATGGGAAAAAGAAGCCTGCCTGAATTTCTTTGAAATGCGATTGTTTTCTCCTTAACCTTTCCCAAGGATATGATAAATTAATTCATAAAATATTAAATGACGCTTTTTACAGTAATGAGAAGCTTCTAATAATGATGTGAAGCTAACACTTGTGACTTGAGCATTTGTGTCCATTCTCAGCAGTGACACGATTTGATTTGTTAACAATGATGTCAATTTGATTATAATACCCATTCTCGAGAAATGTCATTGTATTTCTTCATTTTTCTTATAGAAGTGACATATATTCTGTGGTATTATGATATTACACTAGCAGTGATACACTTTTATTTTTAGCAGCGTTACCATTGTGTTTCTAGTGTGAGGATTCCAGTGAATTTTTTTTCTATATTACTCCTGGGAGAATGGATTGATAGAGATGCCTAGCTGAGGATGGCAGTTCAGCTGTACTGATGGTGGCAGTACCTTTGCAGTTCTTTTGACTGGTAAAAGGAATTGTATTAATTTAACGCTGATTCAACATTGATTCGCAGTGATACCCACACTCAGGAAATATGACCATGTTTCCTAAATTTGTTTTGTGGGTGTTTCGCCTCTGTGATGTTGTGAAATGACACTTGCATTTTAGCAGTGATAGACACTTGCATTTTTGGCAGTGATGTGACACTTGCAAAGTTAACAGTAATAACATTGTGTTTAGTTCCTTTCATATACTTTTTTTTTTCTTCATGGGGAAAGTATGGGGCAAAGACGTCTGGCTAAAGGGGAGGACAGTTGCATATTTTGACCAGGGAGTGAAATTGTAAAAGTTAACACTGATTCAACTGATTCGCAGTGATACCCATAAATGTGACCATGTTTCCTTTATTTCACAGTAATTTATATAACTAAGAATCTTAGTTTGTTTAAAATTATATGCTTTTATTTTTTATTTTACATTAAATTATTATAAACTAAGATTTTTAATCTTCACAGTAATTTATATATCTAAAAAACTTAGTTTGTTTAAAATTATATGCTTTTATTTTTTATTTTACATTAAATTATAATAAACTAAGATTTGTAATCTTAAAACATTTTCAAAGTTGCATGAATGGGGTATTATAGTATTTAAAAACCCATACTTTTAAGGATCCGGTTTTAATTTTACACATCGACATAAAATTTTTTT